GGCTGGAGATGAGTTTCCACCTTCTGTCCTGCAGGATGAATGTGGGGGGAGAAGATGTGTGAGGGGAAACGGGGAGGGGAGAGGTCTGTGGGCTCATCACCCCTAACACCTGGTCCAGGACGCTGTATCTGATAGGCTTCATTTATAGTCACTGCGATTTAGTGATACATACAGTGTCCCAGGCACTTAAATTATTTTTATTCCTTACCACAGCCTCAGGAAGTACAACTTGCTAATACCTCCATTTTACAGATAGGAAGACTGAGACCTGCGAGGTTCGGGCTTGCCTGAGGTCAGCCAGCCAGTACAAGCCTACGCTTTTACCACCATCCTTCTCTGCTTCCCCACTACCTTGCACCGGGCTCTCTTCATGCATAGCAGCCACGGTGGCAAGCGGCAGAGCAGGTGGTTCTGGGTGGTTATTCACAAACAAGGCAAACCAGCCTCTGCAGAAGAGGAGGCTGCGCCCGTTACGTTTAACAAGGGCTGGGGATTGGCTGGGCCAAGCGTGCCTCTTAAGCAGGCAGGCACCACAGGGCAGGCACCACAGGCAGGCACCTGGCCAGACCCGCGGCTGCATACGGTTTAAACATTAAGCTGGGGGGTGGCCTTCTTTAAGAACAGACCGTTTTATAGGGCGCACGGTGCCGTCTAGACGAGGGGACATTTATGAAGGCTGCTGTGTGGCGTGTTGGGCTCAGACACCTGACTTCCTGCCTCTAGTCATTTCGAAGGAGGAGTGAAATCCGACGCGTGCAAGAACAAATTGGATTTTTTCCTCCCCTTCTTTTTGGAGGGTGTATGGTTTCAGTTCAGACATTGGGTAATCTCTTCCTGCTGGCCCCTTTACTTATCTCTGTAGATGGGGTGAGGATGGAGGAAAACTGGAGAAGGGCTTTTTTTCCCTTTTTTCTATAAAGCTGGCCTCTCTGTGCATGGCTTCGGTAGCTTTTGGCCATGAGGGAAATTATGTAATTATCTGTGCAATTTTTCCGTCTTGTCCCTGCCCTCCCCCGCCCCCTTCACCTGCAGGGTCAGCGCAGAGTCGTGTTGGCTGCCTCTCGTGTTCTCTCAGCTCTGTGCTTGGTACCTGGTAGGCGCTCTAAGGAATAAGTGGATACACAAATCCAGGGAAGCTGAGCTGGATAGTGTGGGCCACATTTTTTATTCTAAGGAGGAAGAGTTTATCGCCTTGTTCCCCTGGATGGACAACCCCAAGAAGGAGACGGGGAAGCCGGTCCTAGGTTCAAGTTGTTCATTTCCTGTTTGGTGCGCAGACTCAGGTGCCATGATGCTCTTGAGGGCCCCGGCCCCTCTGAGCTCCCTGACATGTCAGACGAGGCCTCCATGGAAAGACCCAGGAGAGAGAGGTTTCAGCCCTTGGTGTCCTTGGGGAATAAATGTTTCCTTTCTCAAGGCCTTCACTCATGGCCCCGGGAGGAATCAGGTGGAATTGAAGTTTGCTCAGTGGATGGAAGGAAGAATGTCCTATTTCTGGGACACTCTCTCTGGGTTAGGTATGGTTGACATTACCGAACACCTAGGCCAGGGACATTCTAAACACCTGATGTGTAATCCTCACAGGGAGGGACCCATGAAGCTGGTCCTGTTATTTCTGTACTTTACAGATGAGGAAACCAAAGCACAGAGAGGTTATGTAACCTGCCCAAGGTCACACAGCCAGCGAGGGATGTTAGCTAGGACCCCAAAGCCATGTCACTAGCCATGATGCCATACTGCTTCACTATACACCTGGCTCGGTTCCTCCTTCAACTCCATGAAGCAGGCACTATATTCCATGACAGAAGCTGCATTCACTAGTATAGGTCTCCTCCTCCTCCTCCTCCTTTTTAAACAACTGTTTGAAAAACGTGACAGTCATTCTTAGCTCTCAGCTGTCGGAGGTCCTACCGAAACAGGCCTCAAACAGGCCTCGAGCTGAATTTGGCCCACAGGCTGGATGAATATGCAGCAAACCATGAAGCAGGGTAATTTCAGATAGTGCGAAACGCCCCCAAAGAGATAAAATGGGGAACGGCCTTATCAACTAGAGGGGTCCTCCCTCAGGGGGAGGCGTGAAGCCGAAGCTTGAGTGGTGAGAAGCCTGTGACCATCGGAGGGGCTAAACGCTTAGCAAGTGTCTGTGCCGTATGCGAATGCCTACCGTTATGACTATCCTCATTTTTGTGGTTTGCTATTCGCTGTGACCTTGGGTCGTCCTCTCACTGCTCTTGGGAGCTGAACCGAAAGCCTTTCCTCTGGCCCTGGCAGTCGCCCAGCTCTGAGTGACTCCTAGCATTTGTCTCCGCCTGGCTCCCACCACCCCTTTGAAACCGGGGATAGAATGACCCCTCTTTTACATTTCAACAGAAGATTCATTGTTGGAGAGGGAAGCCACCATGCTTATTGACATGGCGGAGCCCTCTTCCGTCCTCAGTGGGCATTTGGGCACTCCCCTTTTACACTGGGCCCGAAGCATCCCCCTGGCAAATGTGGGCCCTGCTCCCGTTGGGAGGATTGACAAGTCCCCCCAGAATGTCACTCCCCTCCCCTGACCCTGGTTGGTGAAAGAATGTATTCCTATTGTTATTGGACAATAGGGCCTTCTCAAGGGCAAGTTCAGCCTACTGCATACTCCAAGGGGTGGTTTCTCCCCTCTTCCCATCTTAGTTTGTGGAGGAATGTGGCGGTTGGTCCAACAGCCGCCCACATCCTCCAGGCCTGTGTGCGCTCACTGTCCGCTTCCTCTAAGAGCCAGCCCGGCTCAGATGTATTATAATAAAGCTTTCCAGTCATATCCTTACGTTTGACGTCAGCACACGGAGGCTTTTCTTGCTGGGTGCTGAATGGGGGGCTGTGGGGAGGACCCTAGATAGCTCTGAGCCTGGACCTCCGATGAAAAGGGGCCTTGTAGCTGGCAGCGTAATCTCGCCCGTGCGGCCGCCTTTTATCCGGCAGGAAGTCTCGTGTTTTCTCTCTGCTTCCTTCATTCCTCGATCGCCCCTGCAGGTAGGATGTCCAGGAAACCCTAAGTCACCTTCCTGCGAGTCTTGGCGGTGGTGTTGTCTGGCAGTGTTACAGAATTTTCCGGGCGACCAAAAAATACACAGGAGTGCTTGGAGATACGGGGGAAAACCCATTTATTTTCAGATGTTTCGCATGTACCGGTACAGTGACTCAGGGGGACTGTTGCTCTCCAAATCCTGAGCAAACCAATACGGAGAAAGCTCTCCCTTTATACCCTTTGGTTTCTGTGTCCCCTAAATATGGATGGGACTTGAGGACCCAAAGCCCCATGTGTTGGGAATGGGGGGGGTGGGGGGGCGTGAGACCACACCTAAAGGCCTAGCCTGGCGCCAGCCTTGATAACTCCCTGGGGGGGTAGGGGGGCTGTGTATTGTTCATGGTTTATGGCCTCTGGAAAATGGGAGTCCTTAGGTAAACAGGTCTTGCAAGACCAGATTGTGGAGAAAGGGGCAGTGACTTAATTATAGGCTATCAAGAAGGTACATTAGGTTATTGGCATAGAGTCAGATTGCCAGCAGGGCCCCACCGCCCCCCAAATGTCTTATTTTCCCCATCAGCAGGAGACTCCCTTCTTTTTCACTCCAATTTCACTATCGCTTCTCTCGGCTGAGCACTCATCACCTAATAGCATCAACCCTTGCCTCCCCTTCTCCTCCCTCCCGCCCTCCCTCCTTCTCTCCTCTCCTTCCCATTCTATCTGTCTACCTGCCTGCCTGCCCACACTAAGTGTTTTCTCAGGCCAGCCACGTGGCAGGCATGGTGTTAAACACCCAGATAAAGCAGGGAGTGGGGTCTCCACTAGCGAAGAGTCAACGAATGATCCAAATACTGACTTAACTGCAACTGGGGAAGGTTCTGCAAACGAGAAGTACCGAGAAGCTGCTGGTCCATTTAACCGGTTTTGGGGAGATCAGTCAGTAGCAAAAACAATAATAAAAATAGCTCCCGAGTTCTCGTTGAGTTACTAGGAAACCGTGGGACAGGTACACGGAGGCACAGATGCTAAGGCACAGAGGCACCCGGACGGAGGTGACTCAGCAGGCTTCCAGAACCCGCAGCAAATTGGTTGGCAGGCTTCTTCGTTACCATGGAAACCACCCCCCACCTAAGTAGCTTTTGTCCCCGGGAGAGCCGAGGCAAACCAAATTACCAACCGACTTGTTCATGAGCAAAGATGAATCCATTGGCAAACATATTTTTCCTTATTAGATTCCCATGACATTTAATGCCTTTTTATTGATGAATTTACTTGGGGTCGTCGCTCTGCATCCTGGCCCCGGCACTTCTCAACAGTTTGGATTGGCAGGCAACATTGATACCAGGGAATCAAGTGGGGCTGGGCAGGGAGTCTGGCTGTCACGCCCTTGGTTTAGGCTCATTTCCACCCAGGCCGCATCTTTTGGTCACATGATGTGTGTTTATGGGGGTGCCTTGGGTCAGAGGAAGGCTAGAGGAAGGATTTGGCTTCTCAGCAAGTGCATAAACTAAGCATAACCTGGAGTCTTAAAACCAAAGGTTGGAGCACACGTGGCCTCCAGATAGGACATGCAGTTGAGCTGTTTGTAGCCAGCGCCGTGGCAGCTGCTGGAGGAGCTGAGTGATACTAATTTCACGGATCCACGTGGACTCATCGATACCCTGTAAACCGAGCCGTCCGTTTTTCTCTTTTCAAAGGATCAGGATGCCTAGAGTAAATGAATCCGGACACGTGAAGCTGCCTCCGCTTTATGGAAAAAAAAAAAAAAAAAGACCCTCCAAAACCCCAGGCTGTTAAAACCTGATGTTTTCTGTTGTCCAGAGATGGGTGTTTCTGCTATAAATGAAAGACATGACAGGGGGTATTCGAAGCTTTGTTTTGTTATTGTCAGTTCTGCCAGCAAGTAACATCTGTATTTATTTTCCAAACTCCCCACAAACGGCTGATTTGCATCTGTTTAGTTCTCTGAGTAACATTTCATTTCCTGACTTTACAGGTTGCTATAAAATCCATTCGTAAGGACAAAATTAAGGATGAACAGGACATGGTTCACATCAGACGGGAGATTGAGATTATGTCATCCCTCAACCATCCTCATATCATCAGTATTTATGAAGGTCAGTGATTTTTTTTTTTTTTTTCATCCTCGTATCAGTTACCATTCCTCATACCATGGGGCCTGCCAAGATTTTTAGGTAATTGCCCTTCTGGGCAGGAGCCAAGTATTTTTCCTCACCATGCAAAAATAGCCGGGTGCTATCTCCCATTTAGTTACCTTGAATGCAACCGGACATATGTAGCGCCGCTCATTTTGGTCATAAAATACCTCTGGCGGGTGCCTTTTTCTGGTTTCACAGGGCCTTGGTGGTTGCTAAGCAATCCACCCTATGGAACACCAGTAAGGGAGACAGCCTTGGTTTCTGAAAAATGGCAGTTTGTTGGGGGACCAAGGAGAGGTGGATAAATTGTAACATCATTCCCCAAAACCGATGCTCAGGAGGTGGTGGCGTGAGTTACCCAAAGTTAGGCTCTTTGAGTTAGGAAGTACCTTTGGGCAGATCCAGTTAATTTTGGGAAAGAATTTGCATCTGATGATGCAAATGGAGTCAAGGTTGTAGCCGGTGCTCATAGGAAGGCAGGGTGGAGCAGAGCTTATAAAACTGCTCATGCTTCAACCTCCTTGCTCCCTCATGGGAAGAAACGGAGAGTATAAATTTCCCAAATCTTCATTTTTAAAATATCCTGGAAAAATATTGCCCAAGCGATATGTGTTTAGTGTGGAAGTGATCAAAATATTAAGGTTAAAATTAAAAAATACTTTTCTGTTCGAATTCCCAGTTTGATTAAAAAGCTCTCTATCCATGCTATATTTTTATCTACTTCTCTGTATCTGTATGTGTCTTCACCCAAAGTTGGATCATACAGCTTAGTTTGATTGTTTTTCTGTTTTTCTGTTATGTATCTCTTTTCTATGTCAATAAATATTTCCCTACAAAGTCATTTTAACACGCTTTATAGTATTCCATTTATGGAAATGCCATCATTTATTGAATCATTGGCTTTTAGATGACCATCTTCTCCCTGTGTTGTCACATCATCTTCCCTCCGTGTGTCTGTGTCTAAATTTCCCATTTTTATAAGGACACTGGTCACATTGGATTAACATCCACCTAAATGACCTCATTTAACCTCAGTTATTTCATTTAAGACCCCATATCCATATAGGGTGACATGCTGAGGCACTGGGAGTTAGGACTGCACTATGTAAATTTCGGAAGGCCCGATTCAGCTCATAACACTGCATCATGGTTAGTTGATGGTCTTAGCAGAGGAGCCTTCTGACCCCATTTGGTTTTCCCCCTCTGCCAGACCTCAGCCCTGTGTTTTTGACCTTATGTCTTGTTTTGCTGGCTCTGCGGCTGAATTCTCTGCCTCAGGCATCCCCCTCAACCTGGCCTTTGTTATCCTTTTCAAGGCTGAGACTGGTAGGAGCAGTGGGTGGCAGCAATGGTGGTGGGACCCGAGTCTGTGAGTTGATGGGCTGGTCTCTCATCCCTTCACAGAGAGAAAGGAAACCTCTCTGGAAGCTGATTGGTTGACTGGGCAGTCAAGAGTCTTAGCTGAGTGCAAGGACACATTAATTTGCATAATGAAAAACCAATGCCAAGGCATCTAAGTGGCTGTTTGGACAACAGCCAAATGAATAGAAGCTGTTAAGGAACTTTGTAATTTCTTTTTCAGCAAGGACCTTTATGATTAAACACACACACACACACACACACACACACACACACACACACGCACACATGTACACACACGTAGCGTTGGCAGCAATAACAATAGCAACATGACAAAGCAATGGTGTACCTCCCTGTATGTTTAGGAACTGGGGGATTTCATGAGGGGAAGGCATCATTTTGGCTGTATTATCTGGTGATATTGAAATTCTAGTTCCAGAGAAAAAGTAATTCATTCATAAAAAATATCAAATAAGTGCTTAATATGTACCAGGCCCTGTTCTGGTGAGCAAGATAAGCTCTGGCCCCATAGAACTGACATTCAGGGAGTAGGCAAGTGAGTAGATAAGTGGCTTTTGAACTGAGACCTGATGAGCAGGGAGTAAGTCTAAGTCCTTGGAAGAGCTTGGCGTTCCAGGCAAAGGGAGCAGCCTGTGTGGATGCTCAGATGAGCCAGGAGCTTGTGTTGGTGGAAGTGATAGAAGGCCTGTGAGGCTGAGTGGTGAGTGAGTGGATGGTGGCAGGAGAGAGGAGGTTGGAGAGGGCCAGATCTTGGTCACATTGGCAAAAGAAGAAAGTGTGGATTTTACCCCGGAAATGAGGGCAAGCCATCGATTTTGATGAGGGAAATAGCATTTTTTTCAACTTGTGCTCTAAAATAATATTAATAAAACTAGGAGTTGTTAAGTGTTTACCCTGCCCTGGAATGGGCCATGTTTTATCGAGTTTAATCCTTCCACCGATGACATACGAACTGTTAACATCTCTAACTTCATGGTAAGGAAAATGGAGGGTTTCCCAAGCTTATATCAACTAATACAGTGGTCAGCAAACTGTGGCTCGCGAGTACAGGGCGATTGAAACTTCGTGGCCCATGCGCAGAAGTCGATTTTTGGCTCTCAAAAGAAATTTCAATCGTTGTACTGTTGATGTTTGGCTCTGTTGACTAATGAGTTTGCCGACCATTGAACTAATAGATGGTGGGTCTGAAAGTCCAGCCCGGTCTCAGGGACATTCGGAATCTGGTGCTCATAAAACTAACCAGGCTTTTGGTGGTCTGCAGCGACCCCCATTGGAGTCTTGTCCTAGACCCTATGATGAGGGGAATTTCTGGCCTTTGCCGAGAAATTCTGTCTTACATACGAGAGAGCCTTCAATCCCAGCTTTGCGAGTATTTTAGAAGATATTTCTGCACAGCATGGAAATGTCAGTTATTTATATATTCATCATACCTGCAGGCTTATAAAATCTGTGACCCTGCTGAATCAGCGCTGCTGTTCATCAGATCTCAAAAATAATCCCTTCCAATGTTTCTCTCTCAAACCAGCCCCTGGGGTTGCTCCCCTGTTGACCCACGTGGGGGAAGGTGATTAACCCACAAATCTGTCAACTGCCAGCTGGACCCATGACTAGCTTCTAAAGCCGATAAAAGGATGGAAATACACCTGCCAGTGTGGGATAGGAAGGGTAACCTAATCGAGGGAGAAAAGGAAGAAATCTCTGGCACCATCGCTAGCTGGACCCCTGTTTCCAGTCAAAGGAATTCCATCCTCTCAGTGGGGAGGTGATTGACAAAATGGAAAGAGCAGCTGAAAAGGAAGTGCCCGCCAGAGCTTTCAACTGGGTTGCCTAGGATGGGAGAGATAAAAACAGTTTTTGCCTGAGGTTCTGATTTCAGGATCCGAGTTCAAACATCAAAGGCCCGAGGTCCCCCCACCACCCACCCTCCCCACCCCCGTCTCCCCTTTGAAAGCCTAGGAGACCTCGTCTGCACAACCAAGAGTAGGCACATCTTGTACGTTAGGGAACCTTAGCGCCCCATCTGGTACCAATCCTGCGGGGAAAGAGGAAAAGGCGAGGGAATCAGGGAGGTTGGGGCCTTGCCTTCCCTTTTATGCCCCGGGTTTCTGTTCCTGGAAATCTCTCTTCCTGGCCCTGCACGATTGGACTTTAAAAAAAAAAAATTATATATATATATATATATATATATATATATATATATATATATATATATATAATATATATATATAATATATTTATTTTTTTATTGATTTTTTTACAGAGATGAAGGGAGAGGGATAGAGAGCTAGAAACATCGATGAGAGAGAAGCATCGACCAGCTGCCTCCTGCACACCCCTCTCTGGGGATGTGCCCGCAACCAATGTACATGCCCTTGACTGGAATCGAACCCGGGACCTTTCAGTCCGCAGGCTGACGCTCTATCCACTGAGCCAAACTGGTTTCAGCTGACTCTTTTTTGGCCCCTGGCATTGTGATCTGCTTTCATCACGGCTCCTGTCTTAGGAAGGGAGATGCTGGCTTTCTGGAACGAAGGAGGAGGCCCATGTGGCATTGGTCAGCTGTCATCAGTCGCCTTCGGAAGAGTTTCTCAATCATAAAGTAACAAAACAAAATAGACAAACAAGCATGTCTTCTCTGATAAGCACATGAGTCTCACATGAGCCCTTGTCCTCTGACCCTCACACCTGCTGTCTGCAAGAAGATGGCAAAAGAGTCTGGGTCATAGGAAATTCTCCAAATTCTTACCACGAAGTCACTCTGGACGAGTTTCCTATCAGTTACACGTGCCTCGCGTCTTGTTCCTGGAAGTACTCGTTACACCTCCCTTTTTTTCGAGTTACCCGTGCCTCCTGAGGTTCTGCTGGGTCTTTCTGGAAGGGGACATTGTTTTTGCCCTCTAGTGAAAATCGCTGCTTCAAACATCCAGCCAGAGACGAAGAGGAGAAAACAGAAGATAGGATCTGAGGACAAGCCCACGGCTTTTGGCCTGTGCTGTTTACTGCAGGCTCGAAGGGGGCATCCTACCTCCTGCCTCCTGCCTGCCTCCCGCTGTCTCCTCCCCCTGCTCTTGTGGCCAGGGGCAGTGGGGCTGATGTTTCCACAGAACCCACCAGAGATCCCGGAGGCAGAAACTGCTGTTCTCAGAAGTGGTCCAGGACCAGCTGCGTCAGCATCACCTGGTCCCACCCAACTCTACTGAATCCAAAGCCCTCGGGGTGGGGCCTCGTGTTCCCACGCACTCCGAAGTGTGAGAAGCACTCGCTGTATTGGAGAAACCCCTGCTCAGGAGGTCAGACACCAACGCAGGGCTGTATTACTAGCATCAGTTATTTGGAAATACACACAGAGCAAGCCGTTTGATATTTTTCCTCTTAGGCTCAAGTATTCATTCTAATTTAGGTTTCTCAGGCAGCAAGCAAACCCTGTTTTAGGCAGGGATCGGCTGAACTGATCTAACAAGATCTGTTTCTCATTCACTCATTCACCTATTCAGTCATTCATTTCTTTTCACAAAAATGCATTGAAAACTTATGTTCCAGGTACCGTTCTACTAGGGTGAGTATATATTTATTGTCCA